ATCCAAAATGACAATTATGCTGGACTTGATTGGCTTGTATATATTGGTATTTTGTTGAATTGCTGTTGCCTAAGATGAGTAAGATTGACAGATTAGCTGTAATGCTCCTAACTTTATTATTGCAATATGACTTAATGACAGGTGATTTTACTCATTAACCTGTTAAGCTACAGAGCTTCCCCATTACAAGTAAATCGTCTGGCATTAATACAAGTAAAAAATACCATACTTATTTTTTACTTGTATTAATGCCAGACGATTTACTTGTAATGGGGCACCCAGGGACGCCGGCTCAATGGGCTAACTAGGGACATTGTCGGATTTTTTGGTTAACCCATATAACTGCAGAGCTTCCCCATTGACGAGTAAAACCATCTGGCGTTAGAGAAGTAAAAAATAAGTAGGGTGCATTGTGGCTCAATGGCCAAGTTTTAATAGGAGTTTGTGGAGGAAATACAAGATTTTAACAGAGCATTGCCTTTTCAATACCCGCCAGGGTTTAACACTGATATAAAAGGGGATATATAATTAGCCAGGGTTTAAAACCATATGAAAAAGGCTGGGGTAGAATGGCCAGGATTTAATGCACATGTAACCTAATTTAAAAATGAAAATTAAAGCCCTGGAGCAAATGACTTTCAGATTATAATCTTTTATTTATATTATATTTTATTTATATTATATTTTTAATGATAGGTTGTTTTTCATCTCTTAAAGCTTATTATGACTTTAATTCTCCAAAGAACACTTGCCATACTTTTGAATTGTTGTAAGATACTGGTAGTGATATATTTTAACTTGTTTAATTACGGTAAATCATGGATTGTTGTGTTATTATTATAAGTATTATAGGCAACAGCTTATCGTGACCTTGTATGGTAATGCTGCACCATTGTTATTCTACATTTTGTTATTGGCATATAAATATCAGAATAGTGTTTATATGAGACGCTAGGAAGCTTAATAAGTTTATTAAAGTAATGCTGTGTGTTTCTTAATGGGCTATTCCATTTAATATCCGTACCCCCCCTGTCGAGGATACATGTTTTTCATTGTCATACCCCTGAAGAATTCCAAGCTCAAAACTGTTTACCCCTGAAGAATTCCAAAATTCCAAGCTCAAAACTCTTTACCCCTGAAGAATTCCAAGCTCAAAACCTTTTACCCTTGAAGAATTCCAAAATTCCAAGCTCAAAACCCTTTACCCCTGAAGAATTCCAAGCTCAAAACCTTTTACCCCTGAAGAATTCCAAGCTCAAAACCCTTCACCCCTAAAGAATTCCAAGCTCAAAACCCTTTACCCCTGAAGAATTTCAAGCTCAAAACCTTTTACCCCTGAAGAATTCCAAGCTCAAAACCCTTCACCCGTGAAGAATTCCAAGCTCTGAAAAATTTCAATCTCAAACCTCTTTACCCCTGAAGAATTCCAAGCTCAAAACCCTTTACCCCTGAAGAATTCCAAGCTCAAAACCATTTACCCCTGAAGAATTCCAAACACAAAACACTTTACCCCTGAAGAATTCCAAGCTCAAAACACTTTACCCCTGAAGAATTCCAAGCTCAAAACCCTTTACCCCTGAAGAATTCCAGGGATCCTCGACAGGGGGGGGGGGGGTACGGATATTAAATGGAATAGCCCTTTGATATGTAAAAGCTCTGAAGGACCAGAAGATGTTTTCTCTCAAGATGTTGTAAAGTACATTATATTTCTTTTCTTGCCATGTAAATTTATGTCTTATGTTTCAAATATATAATATTTGAATTTATGTTTCAAATATATAATATTTGAAATACCAAACATGATAAAATTACGTTCTTTAAATTATTTTAAAACAAATGTACGATGGTGTTTCAAAGTCGTATATATATATATGGGATTTACCTAAATTTGTGAATTGGGTAGCAACGAGATGTATAAAACAACGTTATCCAAAATTGTATTAAATTAAATTAATATCTATTAAATTAAAGTATAGCTTTGAGAGTTTAAAGTCCGTTCTGCGCATCAGTTCTGCTCATAACAAAGGGGAAACCCGCAGATATAAACATCATCATATATTATAAACAACATTGCCCAAATTTTGTATCTTTCCAACTTTTTCGAATTGAAACGTAGAGTTTATATTCATTCACAGTACAAGTCAGTTAGTATATCGTATTTTACAAATATGGCAGTTCAAAATGTAAACAAAACGTTTGTTTAATTATACATTTATAGGAACATTACGAACCTTAAATACAGAATTTATACAGCATCTTTAAACTATAAAAAATATAGATACCGAAAAGTGAAAACCCTTTAAAAACTTACCATTAAGATAGGCTGTTCTTTCATTGAAGCGCTGTCTCTTTATCCATGTCAAATTGCCAGTAGAATTTTGTATAAACCAGTACAGCGATGTAGCGAAATTTCCGGCCGTCTTTCACAACAAATATTAACATCGCAATATTAAGTCAATGACTGCCCGAATTTTTCTCTTTACAACAGAATCGTTTTCCCTGTCCATTGAGTTATAATTTCCAAAACTAACCAGTCGTTGTAACGTAAAATAAACGGGTATTTGTGAACAAAAATGCCCTTTGATGACACGAAGTAACCGGCAGCCATCTTGTCTTCTCCAAACATGAAACATTACAAATTTTCCCGCCAAAAACTCTGTGTTGAAGACGTGAAGTCCCGTATGAAACTGACGTCATAGGTGTCATGCTCATGCGCAATGGTCATCAATGGTGATAAAATATTTCAAAAATACACTAAATCCAATTTTAATCTCTTTACCTTCGCTATTTTCGCTTTCCACATATTTTTGGACCCAACCACGATTGTAACACATCAATATTTTCCCGCTAAACATTTAAAAATCAACAAAAATATTAAATATGAAGTATTATTTCATGATTTATAGAAATATGCTCTTCGGGCAAACATCGGAAAAATCCGAAGTTTTCTGAGCCACTGAGCTGTATACAGCACTGGATGTCTGTTGTTTTTCACGTTCAAATTTTCAAAAAAATCATACCAACGAAACTAGCTTCTTGAACTAGCTTCTTCCATGGATGATAAAATAAATTTTATTTAATTTTATTATTATTTATTTTATTATCCATGCTTCTTCTTTGCACATATTTCTCTTTTTGCCATTGTTCCCCTTTTTTTTTAAAGTGGAATAAACGTAAGGGGTTAACTATACAGATTTTGATTTTGAGATTTTTAAAAATTTTTTTTAGATTTTGATTTCGGTTATTTTGTAAACAGGCCCCACTGTAATTGGTGTTAAGCTGTTGTGGTGGGAAACTTCTTTAATGCAATTATTGTATGATATTTGGAAGCGAAGCACAATAAATAAATAAATAAATACTTGGACCAATGCTGTTTGTACTATTTATACCAAATGGCGGCATGGTCCAAAATTTATATGTGAATATGTCGTGCCACAAAAAACGAGGCCCTTATATTCGGATGTCACCAAAGCCTTCAGAGAGATATAAACTTCCGAATGTGATACTCAAGAACTACAGCAAGCTTTGTGTAACTTGACGAATTGGAGTACCAACAACAATATTTCTTTCAAGAAATCCAAATCACCAAATGCAAGGTGATGGATGATTGATGATGTCAATTCATATTAGATTAATACTCGGAACTAAAGAATCGTCGTGTCACCTTTGCATACCACCTTGACCAGTTTCCCATACTCAACGTTGACCAAGAGAAATTAGTGTTGCGGTATCAATTTCAAGGACTTATGACTCCTATGTTATGTCTTAAGGCTAATTTCCACTCAGGAAAATTAACCGTGGATTGGAACGGACAAGATAATGTGTCTTTGTCTTGTGAGATCTGGGTTGGAACTAATAACTTTAACACAAAGAAAAATTTTCTTGTCTGTTCCCATCCACGGATAATTTTCCGGAGTGGAAATTGGCCTTAGGACTCTCACATAAACACATTCATAGGATAACTGCGAAAGGAAATAGGATGGCAGGACGCTGGGGACTGGGGTTGCTGAAGAGAACCTTTCCTCTCTTGATGGATGTGATGGTATTAAGGCGAACATTATATTTGGCTCGCGTGAAGTCACAACTTTGCTACGCTAGTGAAGCTAGATAAGTCTGGCCCCTCACCAAATGTTCCCAGAAGATGAAACTGGAACACTAGTGCTAAGGCATGCCACTGGATGGATCCTTAGAGTTAAGGTGGGAGACGTTACCAGTATGGAAACTTTGGGATGCATGCGGAATAAATTCCGTGCAGAGTTTTTAAAAAAGTGCTTAAAATGCAACCAACGGCATATTACTTCAAGTAGCCAAGTGCAAGACAACGTGTGGAATATATACACCGGGGCTCCCTTGTTTGATCGGAGAAACCAACAAAACCGTGGTCTCTTTCAAATTTTGTTGAACGCAACACTATAAGGATCTCACCAAGGAAATTTATAATCCTGAGGATCCGAGAACATTTAATTAAGTCTGTTTGTGTGAAGTGTCACACAACTCGCCCATTAACTAACCTGTCGAATCGAGCATGTTGTTAAATTTTCTGTCACATAAATTGCAAGTCGTTCGGATTGTAATTCGTTGTGCTTGTTTGATGGTCTTCACGTATGTCTATTTGTCTGTCTGTTTGCAAACCTGTTATTGTTGATACTGTGTATCTTTTCAAATGTCTTGGCACCCCATTATTGGAGAACTAATATCTGTGTGATAATCTCTGTATGGTACTCATCACGTGTGGTTCAGGACCTGTCTCTGAAAGTCACGTTATGTGAATACAGTTTTCCTGACTAATAAAGATCTTTACTAATTCCAGCCATGTAATCTATTGTCTAACTAATTTTGAGGAACAGTGTATTAAATGGCAAAATCTGTAAAATAAAATAAAATTTGGGGGGGGGAAATGCGCAAACCTGAAAATCGAGTGTTTCCGTTTCAAATATACTAGAATGTGCGTCCATTGACCACATTAATGTGCGCATCTGTGGCGCAAATGACACTACTTTTAATCACCTCCATACTGGAGACGTTACTTAAGCCGGTTTTCCACTTCGCCCGTATCGTAGCGAAACGTACTGGTGAGCATGCGCAGATTGAAAAGAGGTTTATAAAACCACGTACTTCCCGGGTGTATTCGCGTATCAAAATAAAAAGTTCGTCGCAAGTCAACTTTTTGGCGTACTACAGAAGTACTAACCAATCAATATTCACGAAATTTTGAAATTTAAAAACGTTTTTGATACGTTACGGTACGATACGCTTGAAGTGGAAAACGGCCTTTAAAGCCGGTTTTCCACTAGGCGGAATTTTGCGCGCGGAGCGGAATTTTTCTTTGTCTTTTCTAATTAGTTCCACCCGAGAAATCACAAGACAAAGAAAGATTCCGCTCCGCGCGCAAAATTCCGCCTAGTGGAAAACAGGCTTT